GCTCGGGTCAACCTGACTTTGGAATCTTCAGTGTACTTTGCCAAAACGAGCTCAAACTAACACGGAGAGGGAACTTCAGGGGTAGATTCAGGATTTTTCAAGGGGGGTGGCTAGTTCTTGGTGGTTGCAGAATCAATGAAACATGCCCCCAAAATGTTGCAATTTGAGAACTGAAACCCAATTGAAAACTGTTATACCAGAAATAGTAGCAATGTCACAAAGTAGAAATTACTGTGAGGTACCTGCCCAGGGTGATTGCCTTTATTTCTGCCAAAATATTCACAATCTTGTTAATTTCTTTTTTCATTCTTGCTTCACCAAGAGGGGGGGAAGTGGGGTGCTCCCCCCCNAATCCGCCCCTGGGCTTTGCCTGTATAACTCAGGACTAAGTAATCTCACTCTGTCATATATAAAGAATGAAAATCAGATGGTAAAATGTAATATACGATAATAGCAAAAACCAAGAGAGTGTGATGAGTAAGATAGTTCATCCCTCGTGTAGCCCGTAATTCTAAGAAAATTGAATCCAGTCAGTCTTCCGCGGATAATGTTGCCACGCGCTTTGCGAAGATGTTTTCGTGGATGGAAACGAGTATAAGTCACTCGGGCTGAGAACAATCATCGTTCATCGGTATTCTTGAGAGAAGTATCAATTGAAGAAATAAAATTAAACGTGCTTTATAACTGTAAAATTACTACATTCATGAACCAGTGAAATTGTTGGATAGGCGATCACAAACTAAGTATTGAAACCGGTAGATATTAATTGTCAAATTATAAGGGTTAACAGGTAAAGGTAGGGTAAAGTCTGCATACGAGCCAAGTGGCCCATCAGGGCGAAGCTTATCCCGGTTTCTGTAGCATGAAGCGACTAGGAGTATTTCTACTCCCCCCTGGATGGGATGCTAGTCCATCGCAGGGTTATCCCNGGGATGCTAGTCCATCGCAGGGTTATCCCCAGCATTAAGTTCGCCGGTACCCATTTATACACCTGGGTGGAGAGAGGCACTGTGAGAGTAAAGCGTCTTTCTCAAGAACACAACACAATGTCCCCGGCCAGGGCTCAAACCCGGACCGCTCGATCTGGAGACGAGCGCACTAGCCATGAGGTCCACGCACCTCCACAAGGGTTAACAGACTCTGCTCTATTTTTGAATCTAATCAAACCAGTGAAGATGAATCTTACTTTCGTATGTATTGCGAAATATATATTATTCTAAAAGATGAATTTCATGGAAGAATAGAAAATATCGTTCAGACTTTTAAACAATATATTATCTCCGTGTAACGTCTGCAGCGACTGGCAAATTCCAA